GCATAAATATAACTTGTATCTATTACTAACAACAGGTATCGTATCATGAGGAGTTGCTGGCAGTGGAAAGCTTCTAAGAGGCCTACGTTTTCACAGCTGATCAACCAGCTGGACTCTCACATGCCCCATGCAAATGGGGCAGAGCCACTTACTGCCACGGAGAGGCTGGTCTTCAGTGACTACCAACGCATTGCTGGGGTGTCACCTGGGGAAGTCCCCTTGGAACTCTGTCTCTCTGATCCTTGTTTAAAGCACAACACGGACAACAACAGTACACCCCTGTGAAAGAGCCCGGCAGAGAAGTAGAGAGAAGGTGACTGCAGCAAAGTTTATATTTCCATGTTTATTATTTTTAAAATGTGAAAGGAGAAGTTGGCGCCTATGGTTGGCGCTTGGGGTGGGAGCAGCGCACAGAGATTCCCTGGCTGCACCTCCTTCTAGGAGCTGCTGCCGCACATATCGCCACTTCTGGGAGCAGCATGGAGCCGAGGCAGGTAGGGAGCCTGCCTTAGTCCTGCTGGGCCGCCGGACTTTTAGCGACCTAAAATCTCCCAGATTGGTTTCAGTAGCCTCCAGGAGATCAAGCCCAATTCCCAGAGACTCCTGGCCAAACTGGGAGGGTTGGCAACCCTAGCAAACAAGAAAGTGATCTTGGCATTAACCAGGAAGTTGACAGAACACACTAAGAATAAAAATTTATATCCCTCCCCTATGCCAAAGCATCTGGGTCACTGTCCAACACAGAGGAGGGCAAACTACAGCCCGCGGGGCCGTCCTGCCCAGCCCCTGGGCTCCCGGCCGGCCCCGGCCCCACCCCCATTGTTCCCCCTCCCCCACAGCCTCAGCTTGCCATGCTGGCAGAGAGGCGGCGTGGCTGGCTCCGGCTGGGCGGTGCGGCTCAGGGTCAGATTTACCAGTGAACACAGGGTGCCCTGGCACGGGGCCCCAAAGAACAGGGAGCCCCAGGGCCGGGCACTCAGCACCGGCACCCCACCCCACCCCCCCCCCGCGGGGGAGGGGGAAGGGCTGCATTGCGGGGGCAGGGGAGCAGGCGGGTAGTGTGGGTGGCAGAAGCATGGGGAACGTGGACGGAGAATTCAGGAGGAGCACTGGGCGGCCGCACAGCCGGCTGGAGAGAAGCGGCGCTTTGAAGGGGAAACCGCCGCTTCTCTCCAGCTGCACGGCTGCCCCTGCTCCTCCTGAGTCCTCCGCCCATGTTCGCAGGGCCACATTCCGAAAGGGGCTGGGGTTGGGGGGGGGTGGGGGGTTGAGGTAGGGGTAGACTCCGGAGGG